CCCCAAAACCCCAAAACCCCAAAACCCCAAAACCCCAATATCAACGAGTAAATAATTCAAATTTAAAATGGAATATGAAGAAACAGTTGATCATATGCTCCAAAGCTTCAAGGACACGCAAGGCTTGAAGCGCATTTTGGGTGAAAAGCTCAACTTTGACAAGTTTCGAGACACACAAAAGCTAAGCGCACAAAATTCAGCACGAGGAAATCAGTTCAAAGTGTCTTGATTAGATTTGGCAGATAATCCTCTTGAGAAGAATATGTAAGAAGGGATAGATGATTCATCATTTACACAATCTCTAGGTTACTTAGTCCATCTAAAATAATTGAACTTTCAAAATATTTAGATGTAAACCAAAGTAATTTATCATCTCAAATCTCCTCTTTGGCCGCAAATTAGCCTAAATTTTAAGCTAAAACTCTAACTTCATATAGCTTAACTCCAACAATAACCACATCGTACATAAACACTTTTCGTGACACAACTGCTTCGAAAGCAAATGCAGAAGAGACACAGAAGCTACTGGCTGAAATACGAGAAGGAGAGTATGGTCCCATCTCAAAAATACGGCAAGAAATACGCGAATGAATGCTTGGAGATAGCAAGGAAAACATCTCTGAGTCCAAACTGAACATCTACTCTCAAATCACCAACGATGAGATAGATTCACTGGTCAGACATCAAGAGGACATTTACGAAAAATCTTCATACACTATCGGATGCCTCAAGGGCAAGTTTACAGAAAACATGCTCAAGGCTAAAAAGCAGAGCGAGGACTTTAATGCTCATCAGAAGTTATATAAAGTTGATATCACAGCTAAGGAGTCAGAACTTGATCGCAACCTTGACAAAATCCAAGAATTTAATAACAAAAGACTTGTAAAGAACAAGAAGATGGCTAAATCCCATACCAAGGATCTTCAAGAGATGACTGAATTCTTTGAGGCTAAATTAGAGTCTATCAAGAAAGAGAATAACAGATCCAAGAACACCCTCCAAGAACTGGTCATTAGTAAGGACGCAGAGCTTGCAAGAGTTAACCAAGAAATTGACCGTGTCCGGAAAGAGAAAGACAAGCAATTAGAGAAGCTTAAGTCTAAAATAGTAGTCAAGGCTCAATTACAGGAAATCAAATCAAAATAATAAATATTCCAGACTAGATATTGACCAGATTTATCAGAAAAATACTGAAATAAGGAGACAGAATAATCTCTTGAGCAGCAAAGTCAAGCAGCTCAAGTCCCATCTCAGCCAGACCAAGCAGGTGAACTTCGCAATGGAACTTGGTATCGAGAAACTCTCTGTAGTTGCTTATGGCAAGAAAAGGCCCTCTAGAAATAAGTCAAAGAAGCTTATGAAAAGTAAAAGTAAGGACTCAAATTCTGAATATTATTTAACTAATACCATAGGCAAAGCTACAATCAAGCCAACAAGGCAGTTTACCTTGAAATTAGCGAAGAAATCCAGCAAATAAATCAAGGGATTTTTCAAGGGTCAAAATCAGCCTGAACAAATCTCGACCCAAAAGGTCTCGCTCCAAAACAAAAAGTGTATGTAAAAACACAAGGCCTATCTACGAGAAACTGAGATTACAAAATAAAAAGAGCGAACAGCCTTACTACCAGTCAGAGACTTTGCAACAAAATGTGTTAGCTAATACACGCCAAATCGAGCACAGGAACAGTTTCAGCTCTGACTTAGACTACTCTGGTGAGTCACTATTCTCAAAGTCTAAAAGAAGTCATGCGAAGAGGTCCAAAATCCAACTACTCAAGACAGGGTGTCTGGAGCTAGACACCAGCATGAGTGAGAGCAAGGATGACTGGATCCAGTGCCCTACTATTGAAGAAGATTACATTAGCTCCTACGGGCCTAAAATTAAGAGGAAGATTGACCTTGGTCTCAAGAAGAAGATGACCAGATTCGACAGCCAGCCTGTCTTTGATCTCTAAGTTCAATTTAGCTGAAAATTAGAGGGGTTTTGGGGTTTTGGGGTTTTGGGGTTTTGGGG